TGAACAAGATGACGATGAGTTAAACAACATCGATCAAACTGGAGAGGAGCCAAAGACAAGTCATCTCGTAGTAGCGCAGTTTGAGAAGGTTTGGTTGTCTGAAGTTAGAGATGGAGTTGACTTTGTCTTTGCAGGTAACTAAATCAAAGAGCAAGTGGAAATGTATCCTCGAGGATGGGATTCAATAATCGTGACAGTCTTTTTGTATACCCTCAGGATGGAGAGTTCGATTGGACCTTTAGTTGAGGGGATCATATAAAAAGTTCCATCAAAACTTACTTTGTAAAATTCGAGAGAATCCAAAGAAGTTTTGGAAGAATTTTGATCGCGGTACCCGGGCTGAGCTCGGACACCCGAGGTCAGGCACCTCACCCTAAGCCCCCACTCTCCCGCTCCATGCTCTTGCTCCCTTGGGCGTCTCGCCGGATCAGAATATGTGATCTCGCTACCTCCTTGATCCTGTCATCCTTTGAGAAGCATCTCGTCCAGGAAACCACGTCGTGGCAGCGATTGAGCTTCTCATCACGACTCCTACGTCTTGAGGCTGCATTACATCTGCCACTTCCTGCATGCTGCAATCTAGACACTGAAGCTAGCACAAAAGGAGGAAAAAAACATTTCTTACCCACAAGTTCATGAGAAAGTTCTGATCCTCCTTCTTGCCTCCCTTCTGTCCACTGCTGGCTGTGTTTCGGACCTGAAATAAGTTCGACAAATGACTCATGATACACAGACCTTAGGAATACAGACCATGAATAACTGGGTGAATTTCCGTCAGTGTTCGTCTGCCCACTCCAAGGAAGGGGTTAAAGGGTTTAAGACAATTTTATTATGGTATTTTTTAAAACTCCACTTTAATGTGATTGTTCGTTTATTCAGCGATTGCAGTATTGGTTGGACAGCCAGATTTTGGTTCTCCCGCTCCAGCTCACCGTCGCACGTTGACAAAACGTTGAGTCACGGTGAAGTTGTCTCTCACATTTGTTTTGTTTCTTCTTCAGGGCTCAAGCAAAGTACATGACGGGTATGATAACTTTGTAGCCTTTTTCATACGGAACAATATTCACGGGCGACAATGAAGCATCGGCAGATTTGTTTCGTGAAGCTTTGAGACTGATGGAGAGGAGTACCACGGAAGATCCACACCTAGTGGACGAGAAAAGAGTCCTAGAATGTCCTAAAAAAAATTATGTTCTAGTATGAGATTTTATTCGCTTTTGTCGACCTTTCAAACCCATATTACTTGGTTTAGTGTATCATTTGCTTGATACCAAAGCGCTATAAGGTGTCTCATCGATAAATGGGGGCACTTCCCAGATTTCCGCAATGCTTTTGCCTAGAACACAACCAATCAAGGAGTTATATCGAAACTCGTTAGTACCTCTCGAAAGCTCCTCTTGATAACGAATTGGGAACTTTTCTCTCAGCTCCGGCTCTAGCTTGTTTAGTTTTTCTTCAAACCGTAGTTTAACAGCGGAAATGTACTCAGCCTGTAGAACAATACGAGTTAAAATCAAAGCCAGCTGCCAACGCACCAGCATTTGTGAACCGAGTTTTGGTCCATAAACTTTGTAAAACACGCGCACTATGTTGAATGAGTTGTCTTTGACGTCCTCCTATATTCATCATCCGCAGGGGAAATCATTAAAGCCTTTTGTAACTCACCTCGTAATCAGACCTGCAGATTATATATATAAGGAAGTTAATCAGACAACAAATCCACGGGGATCACTTACAAGTTATCTGCTAACTCCACAAGAAGATTTGACAACTCTAGAAAGCCGAAGTGGAACTCATTCACCTCTTCTCCCCTCATTTTGTAAAGCAAGAGGTTGAGCAACTTGTAGTCGGCTGATTTGAACTCCAAAGCTCTGCGAGCATCTAGGATTGAAATTTGATCTTCTGGACCGGAACGACAAATGGATTGCTCTAGTTTCAAGTAATGGCATCCTTTCAAAAGTTCATTTGCCATCCTGCATTGTTTCAAGCAATGATTGAGCCAGTTGAATGGACATCAGACGTACCTATCCGTCCAGAGATTTCGAGCTGCGAGTTCCAGTTTAAGTCCATAAAAGGGATCCACGTCATTGACTGGGTCATGGATATCCTGCATTTTCTTGAGAGCTTTCTCGTATTCTACATCGACCTGTGCCCATAACAATTCAGATTATCCATAGGGCTCTTGAAATTACAGACCTCATACACATAAGCCTCCGTGAAAGCAAGAACTGGCAAGTACTTGAAGTTGTGTTCGTGGTTGCTGGGATCCAGGCCATGGAACATGAAATGTGAGATGCACTAAAAGCACGCGGTTGTCAGTCATGACAATTGCAACTACATCTTACAAAATCATGGAGTGATGTTCTGGAGCGTTCCAAAGCTTCCAATGAAACATGAAGCCGATGAGGCAGGTCAAGGTTTTGGTTTTGCTGTGGAGCTGCAAGCTGACAAGCTCCCTGAGATGAGAAAGAATGGATAGGCTTCAAAAATCTTAAGCCACTCCTGCAAGTGCTAGCCTGCATCACCACGTTTACACTCATTGGATCAAGGATTCACAAGAACTTCTGTGAAGACTAAGTCACTGAGGATAGAATTTATAGTGACATTCTCAATAATATGCTATTTCTGCTCGTCTGTCTAAGGTGCAGATTTAATACATATATATTTGTCTAAAACATCATAATACGAGGGATTGAGATCCTTCTGACCCACAAAAGATCACTGAAAGGGACAATAGAGTGCTACGTATGTTTTGGACAGTTTTTAAAAACTTGTAGGACCAGATAAATAACTTATTTAACAAGTCAAACTTTATTGTCAGTAAATATGAAAATTGTATTGTTGGGACCTATCCTGCAATACATGGATTTTTCTCTCTCTGTGGTCCCTCATCTTCTCTTTGTTCGTGCTCAATCCCCTGCAACCTGTTGTGCGTGTTGACAATATGTACGTCTGGTCTTGCTTGTCACAAGAAAGATTAGTGAGATCTCTTGTGGGTCCTTGTAGAATATAAAAGTGTACAATATAGCTGTACATATATAACTGTGGCAGGTGACGAGAGGATATTGTATTGTGTACATATTTATATTAATATAAACATAAAGATACATATCTGTCACAATTGGAATTGGGGTCCTCCATACCTCCCAACCCAACAAAAGATCACCAAAAAGAAACAATAGACAGTGCTAAGAATTGTAACTTAAGATGACGAAACAATCCAACTAGAGATTTTATACAAGTGATGGCAGCAGAAAAAAAGAAAAGTATTGCGTCTTGTTTTTGGTGAACCTTTATCTGAACACAATATACAATATATAACACCCACCGCAAGGAACGCAAGTATGCAGATATGACAATTGCTGTGGCCATCTTCCAATCTCAATCCCCAAGAAGCATGAGGTAGACAGATTTGGTGGATGACACTCTGGCCAACAAAAGCTGTAAAAACTTGTTACAAAACATTACAAAAATGGTTTGGCATTTCTTGGTGCAAAAATCCAAATAAAAGGCAAAAAATGAATGTAAACACTTTGAGATTTGAACAAGAATTGCCAATGTATGGTTTGGTGGATCTCCTTAATGGCACTTGAGGAGCTAAGTGACATGAACCACAGGAATATTTTGAAAACATTCTATAGCTTGTGGGATTTAAGGCTATAACACCTTCAAGGGTTGAAATGTTGGCCTCTTACTTGTTTCATCACAGTAGCATGTTCTTTTAAGCTAAAGTCAAAGTATTTGGACTATTTAGAGATTTTGACTACTTTTGAAGTTGATGGCTAATAAATGTTTTGTTATCATGTAACTCTTGCCCTTTTATAATTATTCCTTTTTATCCACACTTTATTTGCTGTAAATATAGTAAAAAAATTTATAATAAACCAATTGTTAAGTTTAGATCGTAACAAAGAATCCATGGAACATGAAATGTGAGATGCACTAAAGGCAGAACATTACTCCATGATTTTGTAAGATGTAGTTGCAATTGTCATAACTGGGAGCGTTCCAAAGCTTCCAATGAAACATGAAGCCGATGAGGCAGGTCAAGGTTTTGGTTTTGCTGTGGAAATGCAAGCTAACAAGCTCCATGAGATGAGAAAGAATGGATAGGTATCAAAAATCTTAATATCCTTTTGACCCTCTTGAAAGGGACAATAGAGCGCTACAAATGTGGACAGTTTTTAAAAACTTATTTCCTAAGTGGAAAACAAGTAAAACTTTACTATCAGTAAATATAAAATTGTATTGTGACAAATAGGAAGCATGGGACCTATGATGCAATGCATGGATTTCTCTCTCTTTGTGGTCCCTCATCTTCTGTTTTCTCCTGTTTGATCCCCCACAACCTGTTGCACGTGTTGACAATATGTATGTCTGGTCTAGCTGGTCGCAAGGAAGATTGGTGAGATCTCTTGTTGGCCCTTGTATAATATAAAAGTGTGTAACTGCCACAGTTATAACTGTGGTAGGTGACGAGAGGATATTGTGTACATATTTATATTAATATAAACATAAAAATACATATCTGTCACAACTGGAATTAGGGATCCTCCCATACCTCCTGACCCAGCAAAAGATCATTGAAAGAAATAATTGACAGTGCTCAGAATTGTAACTTAAAATGTCACAAGGTCATGGACTGTTGCCAATGATGCTTGTTATCTATAACGGGCTAAAGTATTGCGTCTTGTTTTTGGTGAACCTTATCTCTTGTAAAATATAAAGTACGCAATATACAATATATAACACCCACCACAAGGAACGCAAGTATGCAAATGTGACGATTGTTGTGGCCGTCTTCCAATCTCGACCCCCAAGAAGCATGAGGCGGACAGATTAGGTGGATGACACTGTGGCCAACGAAGGCTGCGAAAACTTGTTACAAAACATTACAAAAAAGGTTTGGCATTTCTTGGCGCAAAAATCAAAATAAAAGGCAGAAAATGAATGTCGGGATTCATGTAAGACACTTTGAGATTCGAACAAGAATTGCCAGTGCATGGTTTGGTGGATCTCCCTAATGGCGCTTAAGGAGCTCCTGCTAGGATATACTAGGGCTCCGTGCCCCGGTCCCCGCCGCTCCTCCGCTGGTATAGACTGCTGGTAAAAGCATTTTTGTCGCCATGGGCGGGAAGTAAGATTCCTTGCTCCCAACACTGTGCAACCACCGCAGCTCACGGCACACGATGCTTTCTGGAAGAGCATGGCATCTTCGTCCGCTAGTATCACTACCAGTGGCTTCTCGTTTGCACCTGAGGAGCAACATCACCTTCATTGGGATAAAGAAAGAGATTTTCTGGGCCAGTGCATCCTCAGGTAATCGCTTTAGATTTTACGACTCTCGTTGCTGCCAATGTAGAACTTGCACAGCTGATGATAGCCCAAGCGAGCAAGCCCCGTCCCTTGCAGATCTGCAAACATTTGCCTCCACCACAATTTCTGAGCTCATGAAAGACGAAAAGAAACTCGATGGAGCTTTGCTGAGACATGATAGTGACACGGTGTTACCTTTCACAACATTGCAAACTCTCATTTCGGAATATATGGTGGAGAGCCTCAGTGTGCCCACTTTTAGAGTTGGATATACGATCACAACGACCGCACTTGACATTCTCTACCAACAAGTAAGCTCTTCTCGCGGACGCTAATACATCCTTCTCCTTCTTGGCCTTATCCCTTTACTTTATCGACTTTAGATCAAATGCCAAGGTGTCACCATGACTGCTTTGTTGGCCAAAGCCACTGCGTTAGCGCTTGCTCAACACCCAGTTGTGAACGCAAGATGCAAGGATGGGAAAAGCATCTCTTACAACTCCAGCATAAATCTTGCGGTTGTCGTTGCCATCGATGGTGGTCTCATCACACCCGTGCTCCAAAATGCTGACAAAGTAAGCCAAACTCTCAGCCTTCGCTCAGCGTCTGTGCTTGTTTTCAGATTGACATTTATTCCTTATCACGGGAGTGGAAGAAACTTGTAAAAAAGGCCAGGGCCAAGCAGCTCCAGATATCCGAGTGCATGGGTGGTAAATATTGTGTTTTAAGTCGGAGTCAATTGCTATACTCATTGCATTAATTCAGAAACTTTCACCATTTCGAACATGGGAATGTTTGGAGTGGATCGCTTTGACGGGGGCCAAGTATGTAGGTCTGTCTAGTTTCGGGATCAATGCTATTCTCTTGCAGAGTGCGACTCTGGCAGTAAGTTCATCTAGACCCACCATTGTTACTTCCGGAGCTGGCCTTTTCAGGGTGGAAAGTCAAATGCAGGTGAACTTTGTGATCTAATGTGAACTTGGTATTTGACGACGCTTTGCGAGACAGGTGAATGTTACTGCTGATGCTCGGATCATTTACGAGGCTGAGGTCGCGGCTTTTCTACAAACTCTATCTAAAATCATCAAGGATCCTAAGGACCTCACCTTATAACGTAGATTATATCCCATCTAGAATCTTGTGTTTTAATTACTGTAGTTGAAAACACATAATTATATTGCTGTCTAAGTTGGGCCTTCCATTATTAAAATATGACAGAATAACTTTTGCTTGTTGTTTTTTGAATGTAAAATATAATGTATTCATGTTTAAGGTCATTGCAGTGCCTGATGGGGCATGGGACCATCTGTCACAATTGGGATCCTACTGACCCACAAAAGATATTGAAAGTGACAATTGAGCAAAAGCTACATATAATATATACTTATATATTTGTTGCAAGATACCTAAGTATATTCCAATCTGTATACATAAAGAACTAAACTTACTTCCACATGCCAGTATGCTAGAAATGATTCTTACAATTGTGCTCACGCTTGCTCTCATACTAGTTGTGCTCTTTTGTACTAACAAGCGAAATCAAAGTCTTCCACCATCTCCAAGAGCGCTGCCCATCATAGGCCACATTCATTTGGTAGGAAAGAAACTTCCGCATGAGTATCTTTTCCGGCTTGCAAAGCAGCATGGAGGGCTCATGTACCTGCAGCTGGGGAGAATCAAGACACTAGTAGCTTCGACACCAGCTGCTGCAGAAGAAGTTCTCAAGATTCATGACCGTGCATTTGCTTCCAGGCCTGCAAACTCAGCAGCCAAGTATTTTGGGTACGACGCGACGGATTTGGTATGGGCTCCTTACGGTGATCACTGGAGGCATTTGAGGAAGATTTGCACTCTTGAGTTTTTCATTACAAAGCGCGTGCAGATGTTCCAGCCCGTGCGGAAGCTGGAAATGTCCATGCTCATCACGGAACTTGTGGAAGCATGCAGCCAGAGAAGGCCTGTAGATATGACTTCCAGGTTTTTCCAATTCGCCTTCAACACCATGAGCCGCATGGTGTTGAACAAGAGCATTTCGGACGCCTCAGGTAGTGAATCTGAAAAGCTGAAAGAATTCCTCAACAACCTCAATGAAGCCTCCAAAGTTGGGAATGGTCTGCAAATCGGGGATCTTATCCCATGCCTCAGCTGGGCTGATCCCAAAGTCTTCAGGATCAAGTGGCTCCAAACGCAACTGGTGAACTACCTTGGAGAGCAACTTCAAGAGCACAAGAAAAACCGGGAGTCTCATCACGAGGTGAAGGATTTCATGGACGTTTTGATTGCTGGTGGAGTACTAGATGATACCAGAATCAAGGCGTTGACCTCGGTAAGACATCGTCTAATTCGGGAGAAGTTTGAAGTACTAACTTGTTGTTTTCGCGTCTCAAGGATATGCTTGCTGCAGGTACAGACGCCATCGCAGTCACAATTGATTGGGCTCTGGCCGAGCTCATGAGAAATCCCAAGTTAATGCAAGAAGTAAAACAAGAACTGGAGGAGGTTGTCGGAAGCAAAGGTACCGTGGAGGAGGAGCATATCCCAAAGCTCGAGTTTTTGCAGGCCATAGTCAAAGAAACACTTCGCTTACATCCTCCGGCACCTTTGCTAGCTCCTCACGAATCCGTGGAATCTTGTAACATCTGGGGATATAACATTCCTGCAGGAACAGGGCTGCTGGTGAATGCGTATGCTCTTGGAAGAGATGAATCTACTTGGAGCGAGGCCAACAAGTTTAATCCCAAACGTTTTCTGGAGACAAAGTCTGATGTGGAAGTCACAGGTCAGAACTTCGAGCTGATACCCTTTGGATCAGGCCGAAGAATGTGTCCCGCATTGAGCATGGGTCTCACTATGGTGCACTATGCTCTGGCTACAATGCTGCACACATTTGAGTGGAGCCTCCCAGATGGAAAGGACGAGGTCAATATGAAAGCTTACTTTGGCATTGTTTTAATCAGAGAAGAACCCCTGATGCTCGTCCCACGACTGGCAAAATCATGTCCTTGATCCAGCAGCCAACAAGAGAGGTTGTTTTGTTTTAATAAGAAGAGCTGATTTTAGCTCTCGAGCAATCCCACTTAGCTCTAATTGAAATTTTAATGGGTGATTCATTAACTTGGCTTGGATGTAGTGCTGCTCCTTGCTCAGCCACTAGGAACTAGAGCAGTGTCAAGACTCGATAGTGTTTCTCCCAAACCAGCCAGTTGTTTCTCGTTTGGCGATATATAAGCAAGGACACTAAACAGTTTTGTCCGCAGTACTTTCTTCTCCTGATCAAGTTTCCAGGAGAAACACTTGACCCCTGAATGGATCTCACAATTCTCATCCAAGCAGCACCGGCTGTGTCGCTGGATGCCAACCTCACTCCCGAGTCACTGGAAACCGCTTCCAAGTGTAAGTGGTCATCCAATTCTCATAGATCATCAATCGCTAACAGAGAAACTCCAGTGGCGAAGCAAGCAAATGTTCCAGTGTGGTTCGAGCCAGCATCAGTTTCCAGTATCGTCAGGGCTGTAACGTAAGTTTTATCTTATAATTCATGCACAAAAAAGCTTTTCTTTTTGTTTTCTCCACTGCGAGCAAAACGAAGAGAGAACTACTACCGTTCGTCGGTAAGCCCAGAGCCTTCCAGTGATCCACCAGAGCATTTGCTAGGAAGAAATCCGAAGTTTAGAAGACTTTGAAAGATCATTGCCTCCTTTACCAGCTATGTCGTCCCCTACAACACTGATGAGAACGAAGGCGAGTTTGGCCATGCACTCGGCCGCATTTCTCGCAACTCGAGGGCCTGCAAGAACCATAGTCACCAACAAGACAAGCTTTTCAGTGGCGATTTTTGTTTTGAGATCTTTTGATCGGGAGGTACCTGGCCGACGACTGTTGAACCGGCAACACTTTTGTCGCCATGATAGAGCGCAAGGAGAAGCGAGTTTATACTCACCGTCGTTGCAGCTTGAAGATGGCGAGCTCTGAAACGCGGCTGCGCCCCGTCTCCATTCTCCGAAAGCTTTGGAAAGGAGATCCAACTGGCTTACTCCTCGCCCCGGGAGTGGATGTTTGCGAGCAAGACGTAGGCGGCAGCGTTGGCTGGATCGAGCTCCATCACCCAGTCACCACCCACATCCACACCGCTGCTACCCAACAGAGTCGCCCACGCCACTGGATCCGGGTGGAAGGGCATATGTCGGATCAAGTCCTCGGCTTGCTCGGCCATGGCTGCTCGTCCCAGTCCGTCGATCACACACATGTAGTGCGTGGGAGCCGCGTCAACTCCCTGGTAGTCTCGCTGGAGGAGCGACTCAAAGCTCCACCTCGCGGTTTCCAGCATCCCACCATGGCTGCACGCCGACAGCAAGCTCACAAACGTGATTTCGTCCGGCTCCACGCCCTCCACATTCATCACTCGAAACAGCTCCACCGCCTCGGGGTTGTGCCCGTTCTGTGCATACGCCGCCACCATCGCGTTCCAGCACACGAGCTCCTCCTGCTTGCAGCCATGACGCTGCTGCTGCTGCTGCTGCATGGACACGAAGATCTCCCAAGCTCGATCCAGCCGGCCGCATTTGCCATACATGGTCAGCAACGCATTGCCAACTTTGCTCGAGTTTGCTTTGTCCGAGCAGCCAGCAGCCAAGCCTTCGTGAATCTCTGTCCCGTGCCGGATTGAGGACATGTTTCCGCACGCATCTAAGACCTCGATGTACGTTACTTCGCTTCCTCTCAGTCCTTCCACGTCCATTGTGGCAAAGAGATCCAGTGCTTGCCTGGGATGCCCGCTGAGGGCATAGCCCGTGATCGCAGCATTCCAAGCCGGGACGTCTCGGCAAGGTATCCTGTCCAGCACCGCTCGAGCTCCTGCCATGTCTCCATTGTTGGCATACGCCGCCACCATAGCCGTCCACACAACCACGTCCTTCTTGTCCAGAATGCTCGAGAAGACTTGCATGGCTTTCTGGACGTGACCAAGCTGAGCATACGCGGCGATCATCCCAGTCCAAGTCAGTAGATTCCTGGTGGCCATCCTGTCAAAGAGAGATCTTGCGTCGTCGAGCAGACCATTACGAGCAAAGGCGTGGATCATGGCATTGCAGCACACAAGGTCCGGCTCGGGTGTTTTCGCAAACAAGTCCAGTGCTTCGTCTACGCAGTCGTTCTGGGCGTAGGCCTGGATCATGGAATTCCACGAGACCACGTCGCGATGCGGCATTCTCTCGAAGCAAAGTCTCGCCTCCTTCACGTTTCCAGCTCGGGCGTGGGCCGTCACCATGGCAGTAAAAGTTAGAACGTCTCTCGCGAGAATCGCCTCTTCAAACACCACCCTTGCGTCTCGCATCAGCCCCGCGCTCCCGAGCGCAAGTATCATCTCATTGCACGACACCGCATCCCGGCGAGGCATCCTTGAAAACGAGGCTTGCGCTTCTGCCAAGCATCCTCCTTGCGAGAATGCAACCACCAACGCAGCCCAGGAAACACCATTCCGGAAGCTCATCCCATCGAACCATGCTTTCGCAGCCCTCGTGTCCCCGTGCTGGGCATGAGCTATGATCATGGAATTCCAGGCCATGTCGTTGTGTTGTGGCATCTTTCCGGCAAAGCCAACCGCCTCATTGAGATCTTCCAGATGAACAAGCCCCTGAAGCATAGCAGTCCAAGAAACTACGTTCCGAACGGGCATTGTGTGGAACAAGTTGGCGGCTTTGCCCATATAACCCTTCTGAGCAAACGCGGTCAGCATACCCGTCCAGGACACCACATTCTTGTCCCGAGTGCTCTCAAACAAAAGCCACGCTTCGTCGAGAAACCCACTGCGGCAGTAAGCCTGCACCATTGCGTTCCACGAGATGGTGCTTCGTTCTGGCATATCGTCAAACAAAGCCTTTGCCTTCTTAAGATGCCCGTTCTGGGTATGTGCTGAAATCACAACGTTCCAGGACACAACGTCCCACACGGGCATTGCATCGAACACCCTCTTCGCCTGTGAAACGGCGCCACCCTGAGAGCACGCGGTCATGAGCCCCGTCCACGAGAACAAATCACGCCGGGCAGACACTGTCATCGTCTCAAACAAGCGCTGCGCATCGTCAGGTTGCCCAGTCCGGGCATATGCTGCAATGAGTGCATTCGAGGCGTACGTGCTCTTGTGTGGCATCTGCTCAAACAGCTGCCTCGCCTCGCCAATCCATCCGCTATCGATGTAGCCCTTGATCATGGCATTCCACGAGACCGTATCAAACACGAGACGCGATGTGTCAAACAAATCCCTCGCGTAGCTCACGCAGCCGTTGCGGACGAGCGCCGCGATCATCATGTTGTAGGAGAAGGAATTGGGCTGCTGGATGCTGCGGAAAACCACCGCGGCATCCTCCACGCTCCCGCAAGCGCCATACATTTGCACGAGAAGGTTGGCCAGGAACTTGTCCCGTCCCACATCCCTCCCGCTCGCCACGATCTGCGAATGCAGCCGCCTCGCATCGCAGAGCACACCCGAGCTCGTGCATTCCCGGATCAGAAGCTCGATCGGCAGCGCCAGGCATTCCTCCCGCGCCAAGTTCTTGCCGCGCATAGACTGCTAGCATCCTTCGAAAATTAGGGTTCTAGCGCGTTTGTCCGACGTGGCGGATATGGCCGCTATGGCGACTGGATTGTCTTGGGCACGGCCAGGTACTACGAGCTGTAGCGCGAGGCAGGGAATCAGCATTGGCCCTGGCACTGGCATTGGGTGCTTGCAATCGAGAGCGCGATTCCTCAGCAGTGGTCTCCAAATTTCTTGGCCGCCCAGCAGCAGCACTGGCAGCAGTAGCATTGGCATCGGATTGACGAGGAGGAGGAGGAGAAGCGTGATTGCAATGAGCTACGAGGCTGGAATCGGTGTGATGGGAACCAAAGTGGGGATGATGACCCACTTCATGCCCGATGGCCGAGCGATCCCAGTCACGGTGATTGGATTCCACGAAGGGAACATCGTGACCCAGGTGAAGACCGAGCCCACCGACGGCTACAACGCGGTCCAGGTCGGCTACCTCCGCGTCCGCGACACCAAGCTCACCAAGCCGGAGCTCGGCCACCTCAACAAGATCGGCACCATCCCCATGCGCCACCTCCAAGAGTTTCGGCTCGTCAGTGTGGATGGATTCGAGCCATCGCAGCGGCTCAACGTCGAGGACATCTTCAAGGTCGGGGATCTAGTCGATGTTTCTGGCAAGAGCATCGGCAAAGGCTTCCAAGGTTAGATTTTGATCTTTCCAATGTTTTGTTTGTCACTCACCGGTGTGATCCAACTCCAGGGGGTATCAAGCGCCACAACTTCAAGCGGGGGCTCATGACCCACGGATCCAAGAGCCACAGGCAGCTGGGATCCATCGGAGCTGGAACCACGCCGGGGCGTGTGTATCCCGGGAAGAAAATGCCCGGCCGGATGGGCTTCCAAAAGACAAAGATCCGCAAGCTCGAGATCATCAAGATCGATCCGGAGCTGCGGGCAGTGCTCGTCAAGGGCGCTGTTCCTGGCAAGCGTGGCAACCTGTTGAGAATCACGCCCGCCAAGATAGTTGGCAAGAACATCCCCAAGAACTAGAGCATTAGAAGGAAGAAAAAAGAGTTTTTGTTGTAAAGAGTACCTTAAGATTGGAGCTTGGAGAGTGCTGCGCGGAGAGCTTGGAATTGCCGGCATGGCGACGACGAGGGATCATCGAAGCTGGTAAGAACATCCCAAGAACTAGCATTAGAAGAAGAAAAAAAGAGCTTTTGCTGTAAAAAGAGTACCTTGTGCTAAGGGCGGGCAATGGAGCTGCGGGAGAGTGCTGCGCGGCAAGAGCTCGGAATTGCCTGGCAAAAATCATCGATGGCGACGACGAATCGAAGCTGGCTGCTGGCGGCGTCCAAGGCTTGCAGCGACAGTGACAAGGCGAGGCAAATTCACAGCGCGGCCGTGGCGAGCGGGCACGACCGAGACGTGGTTGTGTCAAGCGCGCTTGTGACCATGTATGCCAAGTGTGGAGCCCTGCGAGAAGCTTGCACCGTCTTCCACTCCATCCCCAGTACCGCTCGCGACGTCGTCTCGTGGACGGCGCTCATGCTCGCGCACGCCAGCAATGGCGCCGAGGAGCTCGCCCTCC